TTTTTTTTTTTTTTTAAACAAATCAACTCTAGGCTATTTTAACCCTTCAAGACTGCTAAGATTTCTTTTGGAAATGGAGAAACATTTATATTTTTCTTCTAATTATCTATGAAGCAAACATGCTTTCTCTCATAATTAGTTCTCTAACCCCACATGCTTAGCTGGATCATTCCTCTTTTGAGTGACTAGTCAGAACTAAGGGGCTGGACAGACTGGAAACATTCATCTTCTATGTAGATAGAACAGTCCAAGAATCAATCCTCACCTGTTTCAGCTCTCTTCTGTGAAAGGCAGTCAGGATCCTACACACTCCTGAGAAAGTAAAATCAGAGCAGTACTCTGTCACCTCCTCTCCTAGCCCCAGAAGATTATTGCTATTGGGACTGATTTAAGACATAATGTACACACATCTTTGTGTTCAGATCTTGGATTGACCTGACAGTGCTAGCATTGATGAAAAGCATTGTTTGACCTAGACACGGAGGCAGTTTGATGGAGAGGCTATTGACAGGGAATCAGCTTGAAAGCCCCAACACCCTTTCCCAGAGCCACTTTTCATATTGCAAGTGCAATTTACACGTATTTGTACTGCAATACCAGCAGGCATTATAAGCAAGCCAGGAAGCCTGGAACTTATATGTTAGGAGGAAAGAAAAGGAAGCCATTTTATATTGTTCAATAATCTTATATTATTATCTTTGTGTTGGCTAATCCATATACTCTGCAGAAGACAATTATGAATCAATGCCTTGGGATTCCTAATTGGACTTAAGAAATATATGTAACTTCAGCTGATGGATTCAATTTGAAATTCAAGTGGACATTTTGTACATTTTCCCAGAGTCTTTAATTCAATAGGGTTAAATAAGGAAATAAAAAGTTCCCCAAACATTTTTATAACATTCTCTTCTATAACATTCAAAGTCATTATGTCCAGAGCTGATAACAGCATAATTATACTCTCATATTAGCCCAAGGTATCCTCTGAGCAAAAATGTGCCGTCCATATTTGTCTATTTGATGCCTTCTTCACCATGAAAGGAGCTCTGGTAGCGTAGTGGTTACGAATTGGGCTGTGAGCCTCAAGGTCAGCAGTTCGAAACTACCAGCGATTCCGCGGGAGACAGCTGAGGCGGTCTGCTCCCGTAAAGATTTACAGCCTCGGAAACCCTGTGTAGGGTCG